AGCTAAAAATACGAAATAACTGGAATTTAAATGAGTCGACATCATCTCGTAAGTCCGTTGATGACTAAACAGTAAACGCATACTCTGATTTGCTGCAGATGATGGGGCGTGTCCGCGATTGCGCTTGGGGCTGATCCAGCCTATTTTTTTCGACAAGCGACGCGACTACCATATCGTTCGTATCACACGTTTTCCAGCAGTTTGGTTCTCCTTATCGAGACAGCAATTGGAGGAGCACAGATCGGGCGGCGTCGACACAGACACGCTCCATCATCCACAAGGGAAAACACTGTAAACATGTGCACAGGTTCGTCATAGACCTCCCTGAATACTATAGACACATTTGCTCGCGTGAACAGACATTACGCACAAGTTGCACCATCCCATCACCTCTGCGCGGACCTCAGTGCGCGGCGCATACAAAGTCAGCGTGATCGGCGCTAAACGAACCATATCCTGCTCCTGCTCCACCACAGGATACGTTCTACCATGCGTTCCTGGCTATTCGAACACGCTCACTTGAAACGGTGCACAGGAAACGGGTTTTTCGCGCGGCTGGGAGTGCTCCCTAAGAAATCCCCATCGCGAGATCTCATGAATCCCGAGAGCTTCAGGAACAGTTCAATAGGTTTTTAGAAAGAGAAAATCTTGAGAAGCTCGGATCCGTTCTCAGATTTGTGAAATGTTGAGTTACAAAAAAATATATTGATTCAAACCTGTTCAACTCGAACTTCAACCCTTCACTCCCCAACGAATCCCTATGGCAGATTTCTCTGTGATTTTCGCGACCTTCATGGAACATTTTAGGTACTTCAGGAGATCACACCTTTCTAAATTTACCAATACGCTCTCCTCTTCCCCACAGGTCCGCTTTTGAGGAAGTTATGGTCCTTCAAAGACACCCTACTTTGCTGAAAATTCTCGCTCCATGGCTAATAGCCGTTTGCTCCAGTCAAAGCTGCAATTACACACGCACTTCTGCTACCGTACGATTTCTGCGGAAATTCTGCCCCTCAAATCAAGTGCACTGGGTCCTCGCCAAACAACGTGATTTCATTTTTTTAAGCAAATTATCGGATTATTTTATTATCGTACCATTACCATTTATTTATCGTTCATGTTTATTGTTCCTGTTTGTTTTTTTTCTCCTTTTCCCTTCCTTTGCGCTCATAAGTTTTCCTAGTTTTAGTGAGCGTTCAAAATAGCTTTGAGTTGTGTTTATTTCCTCTCGATTTTTTTCAGATTCACGTAGGGAACAATAAATAACAACTCGAAGCTATTCCTGAACGCTCACTAAAACTAGGAAAAAGTTATGAACGGCTAGCTCTGGGTACTTGTCAGTTGTTTTGTGTGAAAAAAACCAAAAACAAAAAAAAGGGGGGGGTCGTACCGAACCCCCCAAAAAGGGGGGGGGGTCGTACGAGCTCGACCAAAATCCCCATCGAATGCTGTGCCCTGGTACGAACGCAGTCTTACGGATGCTCTTCCAGCGAGCATCTTCCTTCAGCAGATCTCTTCTATCACATGTGAATCTGCGCATCTTGTATATCTGTCCATCTACAGCCCCGCGAGCCAGCACTGAAAGCTATCTACGGCTCTTACGGCTTTGACACTCTGGTTATCGTCAACTTTTAACGAAGATGAGTGTCCTAATGGAAGGTAGCTCAAGACTTCTCTGAGGAGATCCACAGGTCCATGAAGGAAATGCTCACCTCACCTTCCTCGTAACTTGTTGCTGGTACGTGGGTGACGGAAATGGGCTAACTCGACGTTGAGACTCATTCTCGCCTCGTGCACGAGTACGTACAGGAAGTTCATCATAATGAGTGTAGTCTGTTGGCAGCATGAGACACTGCTTTGCCCTTTGACCCCGCGACTGTCGTCAAAATTAACAATGAACACAACGCGTTTTGCTTTTGTTGTATGAAGAGCTTGAGCTTGTGTGATATCGATTATTTTTTGTGTTTCGACAATAGACAACCAATCGATAGTCATTGAAAGTTATAAAATATCCATGGTTTTATGAAAAAAGTCACGCGTGGAGGTACTGTCGCCCCGTACAACGTTCAAATTTGCAAGAAACTCTACGAGGGTCTGTTGCTGCGGGCAGCAAATATGCGCATCCGGTAGCCTAAGCTCCTCCGACCTCTGAGAAGTATGCAATGTACAGGAGGGAGAGGTGGGGGGGGGGGCAAAAAAGACAGCTTGGCTAAGTCACATATCAGTAAAGTTTACGCAGCCCAGACAGAAGACGTGGATACGAGTACCAGGGCGGAAGATACCCAAGATGTTCCTCGATAAGCAGGAGCAGCTCTCGTCCATCACCTTCATGTAAACCAAATATAATCATCTCCAATCTCAGCTGGACTGGAATTCATGTCACCTCCAAACAGCTGCGAAACTTGTTTGAGTCACCCATGGTGCAGCTACCTGGGGACCGGCACTCTTGATCTGGAAGACCTCCAACATCGAGCAGCTCCGACAACGTCGCTACGGCCTATCATCTTCTCTGCAGTCGCCAAGACGCGGTTGAGGTAAGGATCGGAAAATCCTGGGATGGAAGGACCAATATTTTCTTCGTGGACCCCGGACTGAAAGTGAGTGCTGACTGTTACAATGAGCACTCGAGGAGATATTTTGCCTTTGTGTCGTCGCCCGTACCATCTTGAAAATTCGTACTGCTGCAGGGGGTGCCAGCACGTGGAATCGAAGAGCGTTGGAAAAACTCTCGCCTACTTGGAATCGAAGGAGAAGACGGAATATCCAAATGTGTCACCTGCTTCAAATCATCTTGACTACTGGGTTCGGGCGGAGCTCAACAGGGTGGTGTACAGTGGCAGAAAAAAACGACCTCGCTGAACTCAGGCAACGAAGCACGGTCGCGTGGCAGAATCTCTCGATGGCTTGTTCAGAAGGCCGTGACGGAGTTTCGTAATAGTGTACAATGTGTTTTTGAATGTGGTGGTGGAAATGTTCAAGCAAAATTCAATGAAGTGTAACTTATA